TTGAAAGCTGGCAATCTAGCGCGCCGCGCGCGATGTCGCGCAGTGCCGCGCCAACCCTCATCGTGCGAATAACGCCCTTCCGCTGCAGCAGAATAGACTGTGAAAGTGAGGTTCCCCCACCACCTATACCCCACCCACCCTCTCCACCACAGCTCGGTACCTCACCCCCCCTCGGTAGGCCGGGATTCCAAACAGGCTAAAATGTTCGCCGTTAATCGCTCAATATGAATTCTAGCTTTGACAAATGTTCTAGGCTTCATAAGAAGTCAGAGAATTGGCTCAGGAATGGTTTTCGAAAGAGAATAATTACTGAACCTAACCTCCTCTCTGCACGCGCGCAGTTTAAACGCAAACAGTAACAGTCACGGCGCAGTATATTTGTACGGCCTTACGTGTAAAGGAGGAAAATATAGGGAAACGTATTGATCTTGTGTCATTGCTTATACTATAAGGGACTTATTTACAGTGCCTTACAATCGAATATATGTTGTAATATTTAATAGTCGAAATAATAGGAGGTGTAGTGGCGCGAACCCTCCAGCAGACGCTACAGTCGCGGCCTTCGGCGGGGGGAGGTGGCAAGCAGCGGGGGCTGGTGGGGTAGGTGGTGGGGGAACCTCACTTTCACAGTCTATTGTCCCCTTTCCTCTCCTCCTCCCCCCCCCCCCCCCCCCCCCCCCCCCTCCCCCCCCCCCCCCCCCAGCACGCCTGGACGGCGGTGTGACTCCGAGACGAGGGAGATTGGCGGCGATGCGGGAGATGAGGGGATTTAAAATGTTTCCTGGCTTGCGCTGCTTGCGCCACCAGCGCAAAGGAGAAAAGGGTACAATTCAACCACACGCCACTGATTTTTATGACACCCCTCGCCCTTGCGCTGCGGCAGCGTTTTGGAAGGTTGTATATGTGTACTCACCATGCGGCTGAAGTACAGTCATTGTCCCTAAATTCGGACGGTTTTTGAGGAAAAACGCCTGTGATATCTAGAATTTTTGAAATATGAAAAATTGCTGGGGATTCTAGAATCCTCAGGTCGAGACGCACCTACCACTCTCTGAAAATATTTTTTCGCGCTAACGGTATAGGGGTGAGGGCTGTTTGAATCGTGTCCGTATTTAGGAACCAATGCGTCCTAAATTCGGACAGCTTTGAAAAATTATGAAAAGTGAAAATTTTTTGGGGGGTATAGAAACTTCATGAAAAAATTTGACCTTACCCTACCGTCCAAATTTTCGTATCTGGTATAGTCTAGTCGCCAGCACTGCTTAAAGATCGCTTTTAATGTGCCCTAAATTCGGACAGTTGTCCCTTTTGCATGTAAAAGCCTATGTCCGAATAATTTAGGGCGCATAGCAAAAACGCTTCCCAAAACTAAACCGTGCGACGAAAAATCAAAAACTTGGTGTCATATTGTAGATAAAAGTACCAAGTTTCACATATGTTGTGGTCAGAATAACCCGGGCTTACACTGTTCGGAGCCCCAAATTCTTGCAAGACACATTTAAAAACGCCTGTTTTGGGGGGCTAAAAATACAAATTTCAGGAAAAGCAATATTACTCACACATTTATTTTTTTGGCAGAAATGGAAACTTGGTGGTCTTACCTTCCCATCAAACCCATATAAGTTGAATTTTGTCAACGCATAATGGATTTGGAGGCGACAATAGTGAAATACGGCAAAATGTCCGAATTTAGGGCGCAAGTCCGAATTTAGGAACAATGACTGTAATTTTTCAATGAGGTGGTTGCCGTCGGTCACCAGAACACAGTCTACCTTCGGCTCCAACTGGAATGGTTGAAGTCGGGTTGCAGTCTGTGATGGTGGATATATAGTGTGCGAAGTAAACACATCTTTGCGGGATACAAAATTGTACTTCCCCATTTAAAGTATATCACCGAGTTTGAGCGAAATCGGAAATTTCGACCAACAAGCAAGTCCCCTGGGCACCTTTACGACGACCCCTTATGGTTGGTTACTGGGATATAGGCCCACCTGTCAAGGTGTCTAGCAAAGTGTTGGCAATGGAAGGAAACTAGAGATATCGAAATGGGTTGGAAACTGGCAACAGGCTGTGCACTTTTTGCGGAATTAGATGGCGAGTAGGCAACCCGCTCGAACAGACGAAAGCGGTTCAGTAGTTACAGTATGCGGTGCCTGGGAGGTAAATGGCCCCAAACTGTAATGAAATGAAGGAACCCATAATCCCTGACCTCGTTCCTGACTTACGATACAAGAGGAATCATCGAACAAATGCTCGTATGATGTCGCTCTAGTTAAGTAATTATTGAGAATCGTAGGGTCATTATTACGCATGCAGACATATCTCTGCAGTGCGGTCAGGTCACGGGCCCTTCGAGGGGTAGGCAGGCAGGCAGCCCGTGCAGCCCGGTCTGCGCCTGCCTACCCCGCTGACCGCCGCTGACCCACTGCCTGCACTGCCTGCCTGTTGAGAGAGGCGCGCGGCGGCGCTGCGCGCGTCCTTGGCGCGTCCTTTGGCGCTCCTCTCTCCGCTCCGCTCGCCGTCTCCTCGGTCTCGTCGCCGGTGTCGTCGTTGTCGCCCTCCCGCGCCCCCTTTCGCCGCCCAATCAATCACGAGTGGGCGCCGGCCGGGTGTCCCCGCGGGGCCCACAGCAGCCGGGCCGGCGGGCGAACGGGCGGGAACAATTGAATGACGGCGATGCGGTTATGACACGTCCTCCCGTGCCGTGTGCAGTGCAGTGCGGGGCGGGGCGGGCGGGGGCAACACCCGTCTCACGAGCGCGGTGCACAGACAATATCCCGTGAGGTAAGGGCCCCCCCCCCCTCCCCTTCCAATCCTCCTCGTGGCCGCCCTACGCGCAATGATAAATCATCGTGTGCGACGAGTCATCATAAATTCGCGAGCCGTTGAGCAACAATTTGCACACATATCGTGCGGCTGAGTGGAGGGGACACCCCCCTCGGGACCCCCGGTGGGCCCGCCTGTGGGTGGACTCTCGGTGTGACCCTTGTTTAAGCGGCGCCGCACGCTGCCCTGCTGCACGCGCAGCCGCGCAGCCAAGCCCGGCCCGCCGGCGCCTACAGTAACAGATGGTCTCGCGGAAGGCGGCCGCGTGTGTGTGTGCGCGCGCTCCCGGGCCCAGCTGCGCGTTCGGGGAATTTGTGTCAAAGAACGCGCAAACCGTAAAAAAAGGGAGTATAGAATGGACGCACGACATAGTGAGCTCCCCGTTTGGTACGACCCAGCCATCGCCCTGTCGTTGAGGATGAAGGCGAAGAGCGACGGCGCGTTCCTTGCCGTCTCCTGGCTCTCCTCCAGCGGACGGATGATAGCCGTGCCGTGCTTGAGTTGTCGTGTGTGGCAACCATATAGAGGACTCCAGCCCGCGGGCGATGACTCCAGCACGGTGGCGCCTGCAGCGCCCGCATGCCCGCCCCTGACTCGGGCGTCGAATGGGTTGCCGCTCCTCCCGGGCGGTGCCCTGACCTGCCAGCCCGGCACACCCGCCTGGACCCGACCCGGCGTCACCGAGGGGCCCTTCACTAAATTCCAGCGTACACCGATATTTCTGTTTTTCTTGGGTTTTTTTTCCTGATTTTTCCCCAGATTTTTTTTTGACTTTTAGTTCAGTTTTCATGAGTTTTTCATGTTTTTTTTTCTGAATTTTCGTGATATTTTCTAAGGGTGTACACTGATTTTTTTGAGTGAAGGACCTCTCGGGCGTCACGACCGGAAGGTATGGCCGCGATTGAAACAAGCTGGGCGTGTGTTTGCTCCGCTATCACCGGGCCGCGATCGCACGCGTCATCAGGGATCGTCAAAACGACATTAAGTTGTTTGATGTGGCGGGCCTTTAGGCGGGCTGGCCCCGGGCCCGCGGTTGAAAGCTTTTAAACGCTGCAAATAAGGGTGCTGTCGGGAGCATCAATCACCAGCGAGCGCGCGCGTGTGTCGCTACACGCCGCACGGCGTGCACCTGCAGCGGGGCTGGCGGGGACGGACAGGACACAGTACGGGGGGAGCAGCCCCGGCGGGTGGCGCGACACGACGCACCGTGGCAACCTGCAGAAAAATAACGTTACCGTCAACCACGCTGAGTCCCAGAACAATTTCAAGCAGGGGTGGTGTTTTTACAGCAAAGCGATGTCCACATTGTGGCCACGTGCGACTCCGTAACTAATCCTAGGTATCCACCGCCACTTGATTCCCCTCCCCCCCCCCCAATCCACAACCCCTATCTTGAAATTTGGACGCAGCTAAATGTTTAGCAAATCAGCAAACTTGAATACGGAGTCGGGCTAACGGCTACACGGACACGGCTGATGATGAGGCCGGGCCGCCGGGCGAGCCCGCGGCGCACGAGGGAGAAGCAGGCCTTCTTGTCGCTGCCCGCGCGCTCACGCCTCGAGCGCTCGCCGCCCGACCTGTACCACGAGGTGGGGCCGTTCCTCGCCGTGCTGGCGGGCCTGGGCGCGTGGCCGCTGCGCACCGTGAAGAGGGCCTCGGACGAGGAGGGCGTGGGTGAGTGGAACCCGCGGGGCCGCTGGGCCCTTTCCGTCATTTACTAATAAAAAAAGGATTCAAATTTTTCTATTTGATGTTCCTTGTTGTTCTTTCCCCTGAAAATTTTGTTTGCGGGTGAATACTGATTTCGTTTGGAGTGAAGTACCCCTCGTGCAGGGCCCCGTTGAACGAGTCTCCACCCGCAGAGTACGCGGTCGCCTCGTGGCGCTCGCTGCGCATGGTGGCGAGCTCGCTGCTGCTGGTCGCGCTCGCGGTGATCATCGCCGTGGCCGTGAGGAGCAACCTGCGGGAGCTGCTGTCTGGCCGGGAGCCCTTCCTGGAACGGGTCATCCTGGTGCTGCACCTCGTGTACGAGACGCTGCCGCTCTCCGTCCCGCTGCTGCACTGGCCGGCCGCCGGCGGGCTTGCGCTCTACTTTAACGACTGGGGTCGCTTCCAGGTGACTGGAGCTAACTGAGCTCACACTGGAAAAACAAAAGTTCTAAGTCCTGACTTTCCAGGGGTGCTAAAGAAATGTTCAGTTTAGTGCCTCTAGAAAGGCACTTAAAGAGCACTATAGGTGCTAACAATTAGTGCCTTTGGCAGTGTTCCCTTCAGTGCCTTTAAAAGGTAGGACTCGGCACCCTTGTTTTTCCAGTGCAGCGGCGCAGCGGGCGCAGCCTCTGACCTCACACGTGTCTTACTCCCCCGCCCTCACCCCCCAGTGCAGCTGGCAGTGGGTGACGGGGTCCCCGCTGCGCCTGGACTGCGGCCGCCACGCCCGCGCGTGGTCCGTGCTCCTCGTGCTGTACAGCATGCTGTCGCCCATCTACCACCAGCGCGTGTCCAGGCACATGCCCTACTGGAAGCTGCCCATTTACCCGTTCACCATCATGCTCGCCATCATGCTGGGCGTGCTGTGGCGAGCGCTCAACTCGGAGGTCGTTGCCACCTCCGTCAAGCTCCGCGCGCTCTTCCGACAGCGACGCACCGTGAGTGAACAGATAAACTAAGTGTGCATAACTGCCGAACACTTGTAAGCGTGCAACTGCACGTTGAATACTTTGAAGTGTGAACACTTCCTGTGCAAAGATGTTGCACACTTGCAAGTCTGCAACTTGCAGTTGCACACTGACATGTGTTAAGCAGTTGCACACTTAGTTTGTTAGTGTGGAATGTTACAGGCGGGTCACGCCCCCCCCCCCCCCCCCCCTCCGTCCTGTATCCGCTTCACCTAACCCAGTGAGAAATACTAGATGGTCGAGTCAACGTGGAATCGACGTTGTAGTGTTCGAGAAGTTGTCGTCGGTGAAATAGTGCGGTCATCGAGCCAAGTTTGGATTTTATCAGATTCGGCGTCGGCAAATGCAAATTACGGGAGAATGGCGCCTGTGTGACTTGGGGGTAGACCATCCCGCAGTTCATGCTTGCGCTGCAGGCAAGGTGTTATACATTTCAGGTGTATACCTATCATGGGCTATGAGAGCTTACAGAGCCTGAACTTGTCGGGTTCATAACGACCGAGGCAACGACGACTGACAGGTAGGTGTACTTTCTGGTTGATCCCAGAGTGGACAAATACTGATGGTCGATGTCGACGAAACATCTGATGTAAAACTGAATTCGCTGAATTCTGTTAATTCAAGGGAATTCCCTCAAATTCACCAAAAAATCAGCTTTAAATCAAAATTTACAGCAAAATTTCCTTTGGAACAATGGAAGCGATTTTTGACGCGAAATCAGCGTGCCCTTTTCTGGGTGCATACCACCCTCAAAACAACACTTTGTAACACTCGTTGATACAAAGTATGTGCCAAAGATTCGTTCGTTACATTCCAGTCCCGCAGGGGCCTGACGGGCGTCGTGGTGCGCGGCTACTGCATGCTGTGGCTGCGGCTGCGCGCGCTCACGCAGGCGCTGGGCCGCGCCTGGGGCGGCGTGGTCCTGCACATGCTCATCACCATGATGGTCATGACCATGACGAGCCTGTTCGGGCTGCTGTCCGCGCTGCAGCACGGGCTCTGGCGGCGCGTCACCAGCACCATCGCCAGCGCCGTCTGGGGCGCCACGCTCATCTTCTGGATCTGCGGCCAGGGCCGCGCCGCCGCGCGCAGCGTGCGTAGCGTAGCGTGGCTAGCGATTTGAAAGTTCGAAATTTTTCTGGAAAAATCGTACCTCTCCTAGAAAAAACATCGTAAAAATTTTAAATATTCCCGGA